CCCCGCTTGGGCTGCCTACGGGCATCACTGGGTCTACGGTCTCATTTAGCCATTCATTCATAAGTGCTTTCTTGGTTTTGGGAAATCTGGAACCATCACAATTATGAAATGATGAGGAGACAATTTTTTATATATCAACAGGAATTTCATGTTCATAATAATCATCCCTTATGAATAGTAATTTTAACTTACCTGAACCCCATGACATTTGAATTTCCTGATGGAGGAGAGTTGAAATTGAGAGCAATGCCTTCAACAGAGCCCCCCAAGGGAGACATGAGCCCCACAGAAGCACAACTACTTTCGTCACCGGTTAAGTCAGAAGCTGTTGTGTCCAGGCGATGATTACGTTTCTGGGGGCTACCCTTCCCACGCCCCTTTTTTCTGTTGGGAAGGTAAAAAGCAATGTGGAAAACCAATCTGACTGGAGAGGAAAATTTTATCTGCCATCACAAACATGGCCTCCCTTGCAAGTCCCAAACACTTACCCTTTTCTTCTGCTTCTTTCTGCCACAGGAGTATTTCTGTTGCCCTCATCGGCACTGCTGGTCTTCTCCCAGTCCTCCTCATCCCCATCACAGTGCTTCTTGTCCTTATCTTTTGGATCCTTGCTCTTATCCTCTTCCTTTTTCTTCTCCATCTCCTGTCTCCTCTGTGCAGCCTTCTCCATCCTCTCAAACGCCTTCATGTATGCAGCAATCTTCCTTTCCTCACGTGTCATCTTCTGCTGCTGCTGTTTGTCCATGGCCTTGGGGGTCTCTGGTGTCACAGCCAGGGTAGGGGGTGCGCTCACTACCGTGTCCTTGCTTAGCTCTTCAGGTGAACTGGAGGCTGATACACAAGGGGACTTGGCAGGCGACTTACCACAGCCTGACACACGTCTCTGCTTGACAGGCGTGACAGGGGTTGTGCTCTGACAAGTGGTGGTTGTTAGATTATCACTACTTCTGCTCTCAGTGGAAGTGGTTCTTTTACTTGTCCGCAGTTGGAGCTGGAGCTGCTGCTTCTTTATTGTCTTCTTGTTGCTAGAAAGAATGGCAATATTATCAAAACAAAGGCTGAAAAGCTTAAATTCTACTCTCTTGGGTATACTCTGAATACAAATATCTTCATCTCAAAATGGCTGCAAGAATAGTTTAAGAGCCTTACTTTAGAAGCCCATTCTTTTTATGTGGAGGATTATGCACTGGTGATAAGGCCTCCACCTTTTGGGACTGGGGAGCATTGCAATCGTGTTCCTCCGACAGACAGCAGACAAGATCTAAAGTGGAATTAGCTGTCTCTAAGGCTAAAGTAACTTCCTCTGCCTCTTCAATGTCTCTTGTTGCTACCAGGTACAGGTGTAGGGACCCTCTTTCTACCACATGCCGAATCTGATACATAAGGAAAGTAAATAAATTAAAATACTGAAAATGCTCAAACTATAAACATCTGGTCATTCTAATACAAAAATATTATGTAGATAGTTTAATAAATGCTATGTGGCAGCTCATTAAAAAGGCTGAGACTGGGGCCATCCAAGAAACAGCTGTGCTCCAATGCAAGCAAGAATACTATTATGCAACAATCAAATTAGATTCACCCTAAATGTCTTTTTCAAAAGGTAAAACTGCAATGAATGTATAACTGGTGGCTGCAAAAGACATCTGAAAGCAGCTTGTATGCTTGTACCAGAAAAGAATTAATTACCAGCTTTCTGTCCACACTTTAAGTTACTCCTCTAAAGTCAAATAAGATATTCATGAGGTTAACCTTCCATCTTGCAACTACTTTGCATCTTACCTCTGCATTTGGTCTGCATGATCTGCGAGTGAATCTGGCATCATTGCCATACGTTCTGGCATCCACGCATACAGTTAGGCCCTCCTTTGGCATGTGGTACTGCAGGACATAGGGCAGGTACTGCTGACCCATCACTGGTTGTTGTGCATTCCACTGGGATGCTAACAGGTACTTCCCTTGAAACTCTGTGATGGCAGTGTTGACAGTGAGTCTGGTAGCAGCTACCAGGATCTAGAAATAGGAAAGAGACATTAGTTACTCCAAAATGGACTGCCTATTATCATCACAGAATAGGTATACAAATCAACAGTTGCAAGGTAATTAGTTTCTTACCTTACTGTCAAACACATCCAGCAAGGGATTGGGATTCTCCATCACCTTGCAGCGGTGGCCCAAGACGGCCCCCTGGGTGGATGCCCGCAGGTCTGGTGACACGCCATTGATGCGTGCTGCTTGGACTCGTGCGCGCAGTTCAGGAGAATAGTGGTTGGTGACAGCCACCTCATAGCCCTCTACCCAGGCCCGAAGCCTCTCTACTGGGCCCCCACATGAATCATCACTCACACCCTCACCGCCACTCATGCTGCTGCTCTTGCGCTGTGGAAGCGAGACTCAGGTCAGCCTTTCAGTGGAGAGCAGCAACATTTAATAGAAAAACAGTAAGAAACAAAGAAAGGAGAATTTAATCCCATAAGTACTAAAGTAAATTGGGGCAATTAGTAGTATTACTAATACATTCAGACAAACTATGAACCTTTCCAATTTTCTCTTCAATTGAAAGATTTCTTTTCCTGTGGAAATTGCACAGAAGCATTTCTTTGGCATGTTACTCACTCTGCGTGTTTTGACCAGCATTCTTCTGTCTCTCTCCTCGGAACCCGGAACAATGTTGTTGTTGCAGGAGACTGAGCTGCTCTTCTTGAGCAAGGAGAGAGGACCTTTCCTGCCATTCTTCATGTCCTTTATCTGTTTCACCTTCTTTTTCTTTACCACTTTTCTCTCCTGCACTTTGCTGAGTGAAGCACGACTTTTATTGCACATGGGCATGTTATCATCTGAGTCTGAAGAAGAGAGCCTGCAAGACAGAAGACTATGAAAGGCACGTCTGTGATTATTCCATGTTTAAAAGCTACCTCATTCGCTATGTCATTTACTGGCCCAGCACCGTTCCTCACCTGGCCAGATGAGCTTTGATCTCCTGTCTTCTGCGTATCTGTAAAGCACGAGCTTTAAACCGGTCTATCATTCTCGGCTCACAGGCCTCACACAGGTACTCATCAGGTATGTTTTCACGATCAATTTCCATGCAGTCCACATGGGTACTCATCA